GGGGGGGGCTGTAGCCCCGCACCAAACGTCGTCTCTTCACTGAGAATGAGTTTATAGTGCTTTCGGACCTCTTTTGAGGGACTGTTGAGGAAGTATAAAAGCACGGAGCATGGGATACAATGGTATAACTCCAAGCAGAACAGCTGGTGGGTACTCGCCGAGAAATAAGCCGAAATGTGATTACTCATAACTTCTAACCCTCGGATCAATAATCTCGCATTTGTGTGGAATACACGGAGAGTGCGAAGCAACAGCATATCAGCGATGTTCTGCGACATTGCAGAGGAGGAAGCGAATCACGTCACTTCATATTATGAAATAGAAAACCTCACCACTCCGCCAACGGCACGTGCCTTTTACCCAATGACTCTGACACTAAAAAACCCAGAAGGGAAAAAGTAAATTCCCGGCTTTTTACTACAAATTGTAGTAGAAATCGCCATGCTATCGAGGGTAGAATTGCAAAAGTGACAAGAAATGTCCGACATCGAATTTACGTTTGTTCCTATTCCCACTTTCCCATAAATATGTAAATCTAGCGTAGTACCTGCTATTGAGCATTGATAAACAGTACAATTGAACTTTGTGAACTTTGAAAGGGAGAGGTGGTAAAAACACGTGAACAGCACGCTAGCCACATGAGGGTTAGATGCTGTCGTGAATTCAGAGTTCAAAAAGATCTCGAAGAGTAGTGGATATTGCTACAACAAGTAAGGAACTGGTATCTTTTAATAAGCCTCAAGCGGGATAGGAAAAAGCTTCAAGATAAAGCAAACGTCACTGATCGAACTATTTTAAAACTCATCTTACAACCACGATTCTGCAGGATTTATAATGCGAAATGATCGACCCACGAGGGATCAAGGCCTCAGCTGACTTAGGTTTTACTGAATCCGAGGCTCGACCTGACGACTATGGGCACCATAATGGCGCTACAAATCACTGCGCATCTTCCATTCAACATAATCTTTTCTATGGCAACCTCCAAACGATACTTTGTAGACACATTTTGGAGTGAATGTCAAAAAGGAAAACAGTGGGGAAAACCTGCCTTCCTAGAGTATAGTGACTTGAGGAGAAAGCCAAGTAGTTTGAAGCGAACTATTGATGCAAATCTAGCGATCAACCGATATCTACGCCGTGGTCGTCGCAACAACCATGGATAACCAGGTGTTTGAGGTGACATTTGATGTCACAGGCCCTCCGATAAAAACGACCAGCTACACAAACTCGAAATCGAGCCGTAGTTCTCTGTCACTTCCTCTTTTTCTGAGGATGTACTGATCGGTTCAGAATTTCTCAAATAGTCTTCAGGGGCAAATCTATGGTGATTCAAAAGAAGAATAATAATCATAAACCTGACATGAGGAACTGGATGGCCATGCTTAGTAAGAAGAGTCTAGAGCAACTACGAACTCGCCCTACCCGACATCCTGCGGCGATTGAGGACTTTTCCCTTCTACACCTCTCAAAACAGTAATCGAGGGGTGGTGAGGGGTGAATATGACTCTCATTTATCGAAACAGCCGAATAAGACCCTCATAATACGCTTGAGTCAGAACCGAAAACATGCCCTTCACTTTGTGACTTTTTTACAAAACCAAACTCCCTTTTGAGAAGGTTCAAAAGAAATGTTCCTCTGTCGCACACATTCCTTAGTTTTTTTTTTTTCATTTCCACCACAGTAGACCTTCCCATGTTTCCTCCCATTCAACGTGACCGACAAATAAGCGAGGCACCGAGTGAAGACTGCGGAAGGAGGAAGTGAAAAGGAAATTCATGCATTGTGAGGTATCTCTTGTCCGAATGATTGACATTGCTGCCTTCTCGGTATGTCTTTCGCTCTCTTTGCCTATCTCCCTGCTCAAAACGTTTTTTAATTACGACTTGTTGTGAACAACGTCGAAAGAAAAAAAAAGGTGCGAATTGATTATTTGTGTGAAGTCGGTAATGTGAAAAAGGCGGTCGGCACAAAGACTATGGCAACAGCAGCAATCAATGGCTGAATGTACTTTCATATGAAACCTGACACTTATTAGTTGCTGACACGTCAGTAAAACATTAGGAGGAAACGGTAGCTGGAGCTCCTACTGTACTGATTGTTGCTGTGAAACGGTGGCTATGTCGATTTCGCCCCTTACGTCTGTCCGTTTGCAAGATAAGACAGCGTACAGCGCACAAATGACGACAGTGAAAAGACCACTGACGACTACACAAAGATCAAAATACGTTTGAAAACTGGCTATGACGTCATCCAAGGGTTTTTTAAGGAATATTTCGATTTTACCACGTAGTTGGCCAAAAATATCCTGAAAGTAACTATTCAGCAGTTATTCGAAGTTGACTTACTTGTTTTAGAAAAACAGAGATTAGATTGGTTTACGACTGATTCCCCAACCAGAAAGACGCCAAAATTTTGAACTTCCATGGTTCTATTGATATTTACGACTTGAATACCAACAAAAAACACAAGCGTAATGACGTTTTCCAAACTAAGAGAAGGGAATTTATGAGCCCAAAACGTATTTGGCGTGGTGCCAAAGTCAGCTTAAATCCCATAAAAGCAACCTCACTGCAACTAGCAATGAGCAAGACACAACGAAAAAACACTGAAATCATGAGTCAAGAAATGAGACGGGAGCAGTGATACACATATAAACAGTGGCGGCTGAGGTTTGTGTAAAGCATTGCCTTCCTTCAATCGATACTACGCCGGAAACGGAAATATTCGCACGGAATCAAACGCAAGAGTAGTGTATGCATGCCAAATTGGTGCACGTGAATTGTATTTGGGTGAATGCCCAACAACTATACCTAGTACATATAGGAAAAAAACAGGCAGCACGAACCACCCATGGTTACGAAATCGACAAAAGTCGGCGACATACCACTCGTACGGGTGTGGGCAGTATGGAAATGAAAATCGGTAAATGGGTTCAAGCAAAGACCAGTAATCGAAAAAAAAGGAACCGGCATTTTTGGTAGGACTCGTGCATTCGTGACGAAAGTATTTCGTTGATTTTGGCTGGCATGCAGCCAACCTGACATGCGTCAACACCGAAAAGACGTCAATTGCCTAAGCTGACACAGAAGCTATTTACGGCTATGAAATTCGAGAGACCCAACAATTTTTATTGACGTATCCCGTTGAGAAGGGGATTTTCGAGCGTTATTCATAGATGGGTTGTTGAGGGGGAGATCTCACTCGTTTTTGCAATGACATTTCCCTCCCATTGGATTTTAAGCCCCGCCCCCTGCTCACCCGTGCCCTTTGGATGAGGTAAACTCATGGGTTATTATAGTTATTTTCTTCAATCCTACCTCCTCCTCACAAGTTATCAGCGTAAATGAACCCAAACCCAAGAGAAGTTCCTTTCCCACACAGGAAGACGGCGATAAACCTTGTTCTACATGTGCTTTACACTATCTAATTACTAGGTAATAGGCCCTCAAATTGCCATGAATTAAGCAGGTCCTACGAAATGAAGTGTCAAAAAGGTGATGTCATTCCCAGTCAGGGAAAAAAGGCGGTCTTCGATCGCGGAAGGACGTGGCAACTGACGTCACACAAAGTGCATGCTCTCCTGCCCCCTCAACGTTTCATTGAGGGATTTGTCGGCCGGCGGTCTGCTCGGCTTTTGCAATGGGATATCATCGTATCATAAGTGCAATGGGAAAAAAAGTTGCAGAAAAAAAAGAATGTTCAGTACGGATCTGAATATCTACCGTATTTCCTTCCTGTTACGTGCTATTTTACGACTGAAAGTAGTATTGGGTATACGGTAGGAATTTGATCCACTCGGATCATATAGAAATCCACTCAGGATCATTCAACCTTTCAATATCCAGTTTCAAAGAATCAGGGATTCTCTGAGTGTAAGGTAATCATTTGATTGGGGTCTCAGATTGAACCATTAAGACACAATATTGCTTTTCAGATGATTCATGGGCCAGTGCATTGAACGATCACGTGCGTCTGAGTGATTAAGTGCAACGCATGGCGCACTCCAACTGAACTACTGGCCACTTCGCTCTCCACACTTTTTCACCCACTTGTTTCCGGGAACAGTTAATCCTGATGATTTCGATTTTTCATGTCAATTTTAAAAGTTTTTCTAAAATTGCTCATCGAATTACTTGCACTTACTCGACGTAACCGATTGTTAGGGAATCGGTCTGTTTTTCTTTAAGTGATATTACCAGTATCACTGATTATTATTATTATAGCGATTCCCATCTCAATTCATCCCACCTCAAGTTTCCCGCATCACGAAAGGCGTAGTGGGGCGGGGTGGCGGTGTCAAAATTACTTTATGCCTGGACTAGTTGTGGCACAGAAGCAACAGGATAGTACCTGACGCAGACGAGGGAGCCCTTTTTTATAAGATGTTTCTATTGATGGGAACAACTACACCTGCATATTATTATTAGAATTACGAACCTCCCTTCAGCAACAACAGGTAAACAAGTAAATCGATGTAATCGAAAAAGATGGAAGCTGAATGCGTGGCACGATCCAGGAAGAAAAGCGATCGATCCATCGATTTCTTATTAACATTAATATGGTACGCTATATAGAGAAAGGCGATATAACGAGGTATTTATGTATACAAAACCAGAGCACATAGAGAAACGTACATCTCCTGAGCGTCTGTGTCTTACAGCTAGATCAGGTGGTTTAAAATAAAAAGAAGAAGATCTTCGTGATAACTGACTAATAGTGACAGGACACAACAACAAAATACAACAGAACTGAACGAAGAGAAAATGAGAGAAAATTGCCAATGAAAGTCCTGAGATAATCTGTAGCAGCCTAGACACTATTTTTCCGAAGGAAAGTCAGCATGATTGAAGGTACAAACTGGAATTCCCGGAAATTTTCCAAAGTTCAATCAGGTGGACAATATATGAGTACTTATTTACATTGATGATTCATTAATGCTCCGATTTTGACAAACAGTTGAATTTTGATCAGCTGGACAGCTGAAGGGCAAATAACTCCGGCAGTTCTCATCGCATATCATGGCGCATGAGTTCGGATACCATCTGTCCGATTATCCAAATCGCCGCCATCAGAAAACTGACGAGAATAATCACCTGAAAAGTTAAGGGAATTACTGACAACTTTTTTGGCTCATAAAGTTGCTTGCGAATACGAGACTGCTTCATATTCACAAGTAACCATATGAGCCGAAAATGAGTGCCTGTTGGGAACGTGGCGTATCCCACGACTGATGATTTACTTGAATCAATTTATTTTTTGCTCTTTAATCGCCCTTTCACTACTTCACGTTGCTTTTTTGTTGTTCTTATCAATCAAAAAAGAAGATGAATGACTCCCAATTAGTAAATAAAGGAATAGGAACAGTCTAATACGAAAAAGAATGTGAGTTCATGGCAGCATTTTGAAGGGTGAACATATATTTCGTCCAATATTCCCAACCACAGTGGGCGGAGCATGCTCCAGGTAGGCGGTGCTTCCCATTAAACTTCGTAATTCGTTTTCCAAGCTGCACTATAACCAGAAAAGTGGTGAAAGGTTCTATTTCCCAAGGTGTGGTAAGAGTACAAGAAAAGTTTAGAGATCCTGCCTCCGTGAGCTGGATGCGTTCGTAGAGGGGGAGAAGGGTGGGAGCATAGTCGTGGCACATGGGACATCACTACCATGCCATTTTAACGGCTACTCCTATTGCTAGATGGTTTCCTATGCGCAAGTGAGTTGCGCAAGTTAATGCCAGTTCGCCAGAAAAGCGTAAGTACTATTCAATGGCGGAAGGAAACACTTGAAGAGAGTTTGTTTTTAATAAGAATTCCACACAATCTCTCGGCCATACCAAAATTGGGGTCAAGAGCGACGACCTCTTTTTGCACGAACTCCCCCCTTCGCGATTGCTCCATCTACTTCTAGAGCATGTGGGGTAGGGAATGAAGATTTATGGAACATGAGAAATGAATACCGTAGTCCGCCGTTTAGAATCCAGGACTTTCTCTTGATTTGCTTCTTGCTCTTTACTCGACCTACCTCACAAAAGTTGACGTACTTCCATGCAGTATTAAAGGAAAGTCGTTACCGTACAATTTGATATTCTTTTGAACGTATGCTTTCGGAAAAAAGAGTATTCTCTCAGAAAAGCTGTTCTCTCCAGAAATTCACAAAGCCAGCGCATTTATTCCAAGCTCCTGTTCCACAGCCAAATACGGATCCTTCTGAATTATCAACCGAAACGGTATGAGAATTATCTGCAAACAACTAATCTGTCTTCGCCGAAGTTTCTGATAAACAGTCGTAAAATGATGTCTGAGCATTGGAAAAAAAGAAACATCACTTACATTTTCTTTTTGCTTTGGAAAAACATTCACTCTTGGTGAATAAACATCGAAAAAAGCTAACAATAGTTTGATACAAAATTCAAAGACGGAGTCGGCTCAGAATGGAACAGGTGAGGGTATTGGTGTTGTCGCATTTATATCAGAATCCTTTACAATATTGCCCTGAATAAAATAAGGACGTTTTGGTTCTGATATAAACCCCAGAATATCTCAACAACATTTCTTTCGACATCGCGCGTGAAGAAATATAGCAAATGAAGCATCGAGTAAGAACTACAGGAGCAAAAGAGGTGATAGTAGAATTATGTTAAAAATTTTATAATAATTGCATATTGATCGAGCTGTATGAAGGGCGCTAGAAATGCAATAACGAGGCAAGTGGTCCGCGACTGTCGCGCGCGGCAATCGCGGATCAGATGCCACTCCATTGCAGGTCACATCACACAGAACCGATACAGTTGCCCGTTTTTCAGCTTTGTGTAATCGATTCGCTGCACATGGCTGATGGGGACTAGTCGCCTCGTTGTTGCGTTTCTATCGTTCTTCGTACTACCCGATCGATATGCGATTATGATTTTCGACATGTTTCTACAGTTACTTAATTTGTTCCTGTATTCCTTTCTCGTCGCGTTTCTTCTGTTTCATTCTGCTACCTTCCTTCGTGCGCGACGTCACTCTCGCCGCGAAGCGACATTTCGGATCAACTTCACCACACCCGCCGATCGGGGCCACTTCGACACCGACGCACGAGCACCAAAGAAGGCGGCCGTGGGTACGAGAACTGGCAAACACTCAATTCAGATGAAGTTTTTTTGGGAAAGCCAGAAATGCTCGTGAAACTTAAATGACACTTTGGAGGAAAACTTACGCCAAGATCATTTATGCAATAATAGGAAGAACATTGTCTCTTCTTCTCCAATCCTTGTAATGGAACGGGATGAGAATAAATCTAAATACACAACTTGTCGTAACACATTGAACAAATAAATACAAACGGGGAAGGAATGCAGAAACAGCAAATTACAGGCTGAAGGCAATGTTAGTGCAATTTCCTTTGAAAAAAAAACTTGCTCGGCTGCCGTTCCTTCAGGCCGAAAAAGACGAAGAATAAATAGTGGAAATGAATGGCATACTAATTACTGCCAGTAATTTCACCCCTGGCGCTCTTCGAAGCAGTATGCTGCTCTTACAGTAGTATGGAAATTGCACTATAGAAAAATTCCTGTGCTACAATTTTTTAATGTTTACTTTGGAGATGTTTATCAGTTTTCTTTTATTTGACTTGCTTCGTTTCTCTATTCTATTGAAATTCATGTCCCTTTTCCCTATCTTCTCTTCGCCTCTCTACACTCCCGGCTCCGACCCTGAGTTTGATGAAGCTCTTTGCTAAAAGAGAGCTGATTTTCTCCGCGGTTCGGTGAACTGCCATCCGCTCTTAGCATTCAGTGAAGAAGACTTATAAAAAACTGTGTAAATAAATAGTATTCAAATTCATTTCTTATTTTTCTGTAATTTTTGGAGAAAAAACGCAGTTTCGGCTCCCATTTGTGCCACTACCGTATTCAAAAAAATTATATGTATCTCATCATCAGCACATTTCCTAGACTGGATCCCACCACTTGAATGAATACCGAGTCTGAAGCAGACGAAGTCGCCTACTCTAATTTGCATTTGTAAATCTGCTAGTTTGGCTCCAAATTTCACAAATTCCACAAACTTCGGTAAAATCTAAAACCATACTCACCCATCGATACAATGTGTAAGTTCCCACAAGAATGTAGTAGTAAAAAATGCTGGCCAACGATTATTGATATGATCGCCCACAAAATATTCAGAAATAAAATAGAAGTTAGATAATTTCACGACAAAAATACAAAATTGTAAGCATGATTGGGCGAAGAACTTCAACTCCTGCCGTTGCCTACACCCGTTGTCAACTTTCTAAATAACGAAGTTGAGCCGACGAAATGTTTCAGAGAAGGATGCGATTGAAATTAAAGATTTTCGTTACCAAAGAAATTACCATGACTGTTCGGATACGTAGGACTGTGTAGAGGTCGAAAATGATGATGAGAATGAACACAGAAACGCCCGTGCCAAAATCGAGAACCTTGCCAAGCACGAAACCGCAATAGTTCGGGGAAAATTCCCAGATATACTTACTTGCATAGAACACCACGTAGCATTTTTCAACTGAAAAGGTTCAATGGAGAATCAGTTCGTATTCCATTAGCTCAAAGATTATATTGCGATGCTGAGATTTTCGGGTTTTTTCTTCAGCCAAAATTAATTTTAGGCAGTTTTTCTTCACCACCCACGCATTGGTTCGGACACAAATTCAATGAAAAGCACTATGGGACAGAATTCATTTTACTATTTTCTTGAAGATATCACGAACCTCTGAAGTACGGTATGAAATGAAGGAATCCAAGAAACCAGGCGATTCCTATCAATACTTTCGTGTTCCTCTGATTAAGAATTTTCCGACTCTCGATTGGCCAGGAAATCACGATCAGCCTGAAAATCATCAAAATTTCGAATGTTCCTCCGAAGATTCAGATTTTTCATTGCACTTTTGCAGTCGTGGAGAATAGTGTTTAGTTTTTTGTAGGATTAAATTCAACATCAAGGATAAAGTTTTTTGGTACTGATGAAAATATTTTCAAAATTAGAAAATTTTTGCGTGGGAATCAAATGGATGAACTGATGCTTTCATCCATTTGATTCCCACGCAAAATCGCAGTGGCTATATACGGCTTGTACAGTGGCTTAGAGTAGCTGCTGATATATAAGTAAGGAATCTGCCTTTGTAGGTGAATGTATTGCACATACATATGTGTATCCTCCCATGTTTCTGCATGTGTGTCTGGGGCGTTTGTGGCTGTATCTGTGTTGTCTGTGTGTACGTGCTTTTCATCGTGCCCGTGGGCCTCTATGTTTCTGTGCTTAGGCGCCACTGAGTGCGTCTTGTGCATAAGTGCCCATGTATGTGTGTATGTGTATATGTATGTATTTGTGCCTACTTCCGTGGGTGCTTTGAGGTGTGTATATGATGTGTATGTATGTGTATCTGGTGTTTGTATATGTAGCTGTGTATATGGGTCTATGTAAATGTCGGTTAACTGGTTTGTTTGTTTGTGTGTGATGCGTCTGTATACAGTAGAGCTCAAAAGCCCTCGGTGAAATGGTTCTTCAGCCGTACTTTTCAGTCGCAACTCCTTTCCTGCTGGATCTAATCATGCAAAATTTCTATATTTGGAGCGTGGGTGTGTCGTGAATATTTACCACCATTAACCTGCAATCTGAACATGTTCCAAATATTTCGAAAAGCATGAACTCAAAATTGACTGAAAATACAGATGATGGCCCTTCTGGAATCTTTTTCCTTTTTGTCATGTCTAAAGTGTACGAGCGGTAATGCCGAACACAATAGATGGGAACATCGCACATAAGGTGCGAATAAATGCAGACGTCAACAACTTTTCTTNAACATGTTCCAAATATTTCGAAAAGCATGAACTCAAAATTGACTGAAAATACAGATGATGGCCCTTCTGGAATCTTTTTCCTTTTTGTCATGTCTAAAGTGTACGAGCGGTAATGCCGAACACAATAGATGGGAACATCGCACATAAGGTGCGAATAAATGCAGACGTCAACAACTTTTCTTTTAGCAAAATCTGCTACCGCAACAAGCACCTTGCTCTATCTGTGGATATTGAAGCTTCGCAGTCAAGTAGTGTTGGGTAGGATGCAATATGCTCTAGTTAAACATATCCAAATTTTGCGCGATTTGGTCTACTAAGAAAAAAGTTATGAATGAAAAAGAGTCAAAGCACCTCACCGAAGACTTTTGAGCGCTACTGCATGTGTCTGGAGTATATGTGAGTAGTTTTATTTACAAGTCAGGGCCGAATTCAACGAAGGGGTTCGGTTTCAATGAATAATGATTGAAACCGCAACTTGTTGTCACTCAGGTAAACTGGCCAAGGGACAAAAGCATAAACGTTTGGGTTCGGCATAATCCGATTAGAAGCATCTACAAGAATACTAACGGTATACTTGTAGATGCTCCCCAGAGGAAGATGCGACACATACTTTACCGAAGTCCCTCCACATTTCTCACTTTGTTTCCTCCGCACGTTTGCCCGACCTGTTCGCTCATGCTTATTGTAGAAGCCTTACAGGTTGTTGTAGTAACTACGAGCACAGCAGGCAGTCTGAATTTCACCTACCGTAGCCGCCCAGCCACCTTTCAAACTGTGAAATTTGACCGCATAGGCAGGGAAAGGGAGCGTATGAGAGCTTTTTGATTACCATTTCTCAGAAGAAAAGGCAAGAGTTATGGAGAAATTTTCAGATAAGGCAAAATGAAATCGATGGACATACCTGTTTATACTCGACATCAGATGTGAATATACGCTCACGTCCCATATAGCTACCATGAAACCGCTTATGAGCTTTGCAATAGGAGACGTATGAGAGAAGTTTGACTGTCTTAAAGGAAATTGTACCAGATGAAACATTTGGGGTAGGTTTTTTCAGATAATTTTCAAGCCACTGCTCTCCATTACTTGCACACTGAACCCTTAACCACGTGCCAAGCCAACCACCGCCAATTGATATGGGATGTAGTAGGATCGCGGATGAGTTGTGATAGAACTGATGAATGCTGATAAGACCCAACAAGGAGCTTGAATTCTTAAACCTTAACCCTCAAATAGGGCGCAACTGAATGGGATTATTGTGCTTGTGTTTTGTTTTTTTGAAAATAGAACCTTGGTACTTGGTAGACGATGTGGAGAGTGACGTGATTGAAGGTGACAAGAATGATACTAGCTAATAAGGGCCGATAGGGGACTCGAAAGTCAAAAGCCGTGACCAAAACTAGAGAGCGACTCACGCCCAGGGAACTTATTTTGGACAGAGCCGTCCTGCGAAAAAAGAAGTCTGCTATCGAGCCGCACTCGAACACCTACGGAATAATGGACGGAGAGAAGAAGCACGTCTTATCGACCATTCGCTTCTAAATAGTATTTGCATGAGTATATTGTTATTTGAATGGCTCGATTGATCATTTGTAACTTTGAGAAGTTAGAATTGCCAAGAAAAAGTCAAAGGTTTTCCACGTCAACGAGCATCAGAGCACTTTGCTTTCTATCCCCTGATCCAAGGCAGATTTCACAAACAAAAGGGACGAATGCACTAAGGGATAGGCAGACAGATAAGGTTTAAACAGGAAATTGGATTAAATCCTGTTGATAAGATTTGCCGAATTTCCATCGTGTTTACTGGAAGCTATATAGTGCTGTTGTATGATTTATCTATAATTAGAAATGAGTTTCTGGAAACTTACAGTATGATCACTGGAGCACAGTAGAATACGAACAATGCCAAACAAATGAAATTCGCTGTACAGTTTGAGAAGCAAAGTTGTTGAAAGGAGTGCGAAATTTTACCGCCCTTGATGAGTATCAACATAGCTAGACCGTTGCTTGCCAAGCCTAATACGCCGAGCTGAAATCCATAGAATTACACATTGAGGTGTCTTAAATAGTTTCACACGGTAACAACTGGTCAGTTTAGGAAGTGTCTTTGCTTAACTTTTTCCTTCTAGTAAGAACTTTTCATCAAAAGACTCGATGAGCCATTAGCACCATTGGGAAGCTAAAACTACCAAAAAGCGTTGAAGGTTGTCCTCTCGACATGTATCAGAAGCAATTGCCTTCCTAAACTTTCAGTAGATGGTGTACAGTGTAGACTTTGTACAAATGGTCGAAAAAGCTGTGGCTAGAGTACGACAAAAAAGACGATATCATGCTCATTTTCTAGACTACAGAGAGAAAAAGATTCCCTACTCAATAAACTTTTGACACATTCTAATAGTAAATTACGATTACTGTCCAAAGGTAGTCTGAAAACTATCTAGGACGTTGATCATGTTTTCTCGAAAAATGGAAAGGGTGAGAAGACGCTTCCCAATACCAAGCCGTACACGTATAAAGCTGAAGTACAAAGACATGTACGCACTCACTACCCACTACGATTCTAAAATTTTATGCGGACTGCCTAGGCGTATCCGAAAAAACAAGGGTTGGTCAACGCCTATGAAATTTTGTCCCTAAGGCCATACATTGGGAATGCTTTCGAATGATTGGCATGCTTCCAGAAAAATGAGTTTCCACTTCCAGTGCTCGCGGCGTGACTTCCATTTAACATCTTGTCAGTGAGGGTCTAGCAAACGGAACAGAAAGACGTGAAACAGTTTCTGCTTGAAAACCCAATGTGATAGTGGAATGGGAGACGAAAAACCAGAATGTGCAAGCCATAAAATTACCTCCACGTGAAATGAAACTGCTTACATCACATTCGTTGTTATAACCAATAGTACTGCGGTGGCATTTATATAGGTGTGGGTAGTTTTCCCCGAAAATCGCGTCACCTTCGCGGCACCCGATAGCGAGCAGTCGCTCGCAATGAGGGGAATGGTTTGAATCCCTGTCAAAGGATACTGTAGCCGTCGCGGGACCAGGCAGCAAGAAAATTTGTGGCTCGAGGCAAGCAGTGTGCATATTCAGTGAATATACGGCAGTTGGACCTGATCAAGAGGGATTTTGTCCAGGACAAAGTAAAAGGGTCGAAGTTCGTTTGAATAGTCATTTCACTTTACTTTTTTTTTCTAACTGGGACATGTTACAAACCTAAGATGACCCAGTTAGCCCACAGACGATACCTTTCTAAAACACGGCTAATTCACAATAACTGACTGAAAGGCGAAAACGTTTTCGATGAGAAGGAAACCTTTGAATATGCATGTTTAGACTCGATCCTCAATCACTTGTGCGCAAATAACTGCCTAAGTTAGGTGCATGGCGCAACTGGTTTAATCGCGTCATTGATGTACATCATCCTTACTGCGGAACTCATCATGTAAAGTTCAAAAATACATAATCATAATTGGCAAAACATTCCATTCAGAACTGAAGGTAAGATATACCCATTACGTACCCCTTCGATAATGCCGACTGCGATGATGTCGTCGGATGAAAGCTTTGCCATTGCTGAGCAACTCAAAGTCCCAGAGTCTTAGTGGGAGAGCTGCCTCGATGCTCTACTCAGAAGACGTCAAACATGAGGAGTACCCCGAAAGGTGGGTGGGACTATTCAAGCGGTTCTAGAAACCGTAAACAGTTATATCAAAAGTAATTGATGGCGGAAATTGAGGGTTCATCCGTTTAGTAGAAATTCATGATAATAATAATCGTTTTTATTAACGCCACGTAACTAGTCATCCTAGTAACTAATGAGACAACCCTGAAACGACCTAATAAGGTTTTTGTTGAATCCAAATCCATGCGTACAACAACTGAAGAACCAGACTTTTTTCAGTCTACTATATGACATGACGTAATTAAACATTACTAAATAATAATTACACTCATATCAACGCGTTATATGGTAATGGGAAGGAAGTGGATAGGGCCAGGTGATATGGGGTCTTGGGCTTCGTTTTTGATCAGATGAGTTCTCACAGTTATTACCTTGAAGTAATTTATTATTACCATCTCTTGTGACCGAGATTAATATTTTTGACCTTACAAGTCACAGGGTGGCGTTAGGAGTTTTGATTTGCATGGCGCAAATCGAGTCATCTAGCTAATGGCAAGATACCAAACAACTCGAAGTTATGGCGCATATTTATAAGTCTCGCACTGAACGATGTGAGACTTACAGTAGCGCTCAAACGTCTTCGGTGAAATGCTTAGACGCTTTATCGTTCATAACTTTTTTCTTAGTAGACCAAATCGCGCAAAATTTGGATATGTTTAACTAGAGCATATTTCACCCTACTACTCAACACTATTTGACTGCGAAGCTGCAATATCCACAGATAGAGCAAGGTGTTTGTTGCAGTAGCAGAATTTGCTCAAAGTTGTTGACGCCTGCACTTATTCGCACATTATGTGCGTTTTTCTCATCTACTGTGTTCGGCACTACCGCTCGTACACTTTAGAGATGACAAAAAGGAAAGAGATTCAGAAGGGCCATCATCTGTATTTTCAGTCGATTTTAAGTTCATGCTCTTTGGAATATCTAGAACACGATCAGATTGCAGGTTAATAGTGGTAAATATTCACAATACAACCACGCTCCCAATATAGAAATTTCGCATGATTAGATCCAGTAGGAAAGGAGTTACGACTGAAAAGTATGACTGAAGTACCATTTCACCGAAGATTTTCGAGCGCTACTGTATATCGTTCGACATATTCCAGGTTACAAATTGGCATAAGAGGGGCACGCTCTCATAGAACCACTTCCAACTGCTTCCAGGCCAACATGACAAGTAAACATCAGCTGAATGACTCTTTGCGCTCAAATATTGTCTTATAGAACGATTTTTCACCGGATTCACATGATCCTTAAAGGAGAGTTGGTGCAGTGGTAAGTGGCGCCATTATCGGTCACTTGATACATCATCCCGAATCAAGGATTTTATTCTTTCACTTGACAAAACTATCTGGAAGGATGAAGACTTGACTTGCACGCCAGCTTTACTGAAGTTGCAGAATTGGGCAGAGCTTAATTTATTAGATTCGAAAATCTTCGGGCTTTTATGCAGAACGCTGGGTTTTCCTAAAAAAAAGGGATGCTACCGATAAGAAGCGAAACAGTATTTACATTTCTTCTTAGTAGGATCGAGCTCATAGAGTAAAGCCTGAAAATGTGCAACATACACCTACATTTTACGATATTATTTATTAAGCATATTGCAAAAAATTCATTATTGTGATGCTGATCCCCGATCGATCTCAACGTCATAATTTCTCCAATATGAAGAAAATCCGTCGTAGCCTGTTTCCAATTCTGGATGATAAAATGAGTTTTTATCCAGTAGTTGCAGAGGTCGGAGCAAATGACTTGTTGCAAGCGCTCAGGAACATTCGTGAAGGTTCGCCTCTTTTACTGAAATATACTGTAGTGACAAGCGGAGTTTGTTGTGAAGTGTAATCTCCACGGTGAGAGTGATTATGTGTATCTTCAAAATAAAAACTATTTTAAAATAAAACTTTTGTGAGAATTATGGGTTGAAAAAAAGCCACGAGAACTGCTTTTGAGGAGTTGATAATTACTTCTAGACATGATTCCGCCACAATCATTAACAGAAGGGTCAAAATGATGAAGAAGAACATTTTTCGCCTTAACCATTTCCGTTTTGGGGGATACGCCCCGCATTCGACTTTCATTCAAAATCGTAGTGACGTTTTGAACGTGTATGCGGCCCTGTACAATAAGCTGCGATGGTCAGCCGATGTACGAGCCAGTGTTTTCATCCTACCAGACAAATGCCAACTACCCACCTCGGAATGATGAAACACTCGGTTTTCTGGGCAAGTATTGATCTAATATCCGATCCCGGGACAATGCGTGTGATAGTGCGCCACTTGCCACTACACCACCTTCACCCGTCCGCTTGACGGCGGTATTAATGAATAAAGCAAACCATTCCAGAATTCTCTGTCTCCATATTTTTTGCCTTCACACTTTTTCCAATCTGGTAGAGTCTTGTTCAACATGGAGATGCCTTTCCGCAGTGCTCCAGAACGATATCACCACGATGATCAAGATGTACTACTGCTTGGCTCTGGCAACTAATACGAAACTTATTTTTAAGCTTAAGTTAGACATTGTTTCGTACCAGTGTATTGCCAAAAAAAGACATTTACGCTGCCTATATCATCATTAAATCGCAATCATAAAATAAGTTGCAGACCAGACTTACTTTGTGATTGTATGCCCAGTAATAACGGGACGGCACTTTCGCGTTTTCCAATCATGATAATGGAACGGAATAAGGATGAGCCTAAAATTAGAAAAAAAAGGATTTTACAAAAAATCATTCGTACAATTGGCAAAAACAAAAATGATGCTGATAATTCAATAGCTTAGAAAATAATGCTTATTTATGAGAAAGATTTTTCTCTTTTCATGTACGATCTAATTCCGAAAATTTAGAAAGGAAAGAGAAAAAAAAAGAAAAGACAGCGAAGAAAAAGAAGGACAGACTGGATTATTCGACCATGTTCATTGCATTTAGATGTATGAAGTACACTCCAGCAGACCGGCAGTGAGAACTTACCCATCGATACAGTGGGTGATTTCCCAAGCGAATGTGGTGGTGCAAAATGCTGGCCAGTGATAGGTGACCAAATCACCGATAAAATAACCAGAAATAAAATAGAAATTAGTTAATTTTATGACGAAAAGGCTGAATTGCAAGCAGGATTGAGCGAAGAACTTCAACTCCTGGGTACGCAACGATTTTCCGAGTCTCTAAAATAAAATAAAATCAGGAATTTGGAGCACGAAAGTGGCAAAATCTGCTGACCATCACCGCTGTTCGAATACGGTAAATTGTGAAGACGTCCATAATGATGATGAGGATGAACACAGACACACCAGTACCAAAATCGAGCACTTTACCAAGTACGAAGCCGCAATAGTTTGGCGAGAATTCCCAAAGATAGTTACTCGCATGGAAGACGATATAGCATTCTTTCACTGAACCAAGCTTTTGACGAAATGTTCATAATTTCAAAAGGAAATTCTCGTAAAGTTAGTCAATGGACCTTTGTTTACTTATTTACTATCGATCTGAAAGGACTTATTGTTTACTAAGCAAAAACTAACAAATTCTTTTCACCAAACGTTAAGTTCCTGAGAAACCCTTATGCCTTCTGCTAGCCAAAAAAAAATAAAAATAGGATGACGGGCAAAAGCTAATGGGGAAACACCAAAGCAATCCGGTCATCTGACAAGGTCAATGGTACACGGGCCTTTTCCAAATAGAAGTCTAGGGATGACTTGCTGACAAGGCCGGTTTCAGAGCCCCACCAAGGCCTAATTCTGGTTAGAACCTCCGCCGTTACCCACAAAAAACTTGAGCAGAAACTTTACTATTAATCAAGAATAAGGAGAATTAGAAACTGTGTAAGAATGATCATTCACCGTTGAAATAAGGCGTAAAGTGAAGAAAACCTAGAAACCATACGATTCCTATCATTATACTCGTATTCCGTTGACAGAGATAATTACGACTTTCAACTGGCCAAGATATCACGACCAGCCTGAAATGTAGAGAACTTATATTTCTGAAGTAATTCAATCATTCCAAAGAAATCCGGCCAAGACCTTAACCAGACCTGGGCAAAGGAAAATGGAGCATTTCTCAAGGACCTGGGCTCTCATAGAACTCGAAAACATCACTGTCCCCTGTTCCAAACCCCTAATTTTAACGCTTCTCGCCTCGTTCAGATCTCTCATTGGCCTACAAAAATTCCAACACTCTTCCGTCGACTGTTCATTAATTCTCCATGATTCCACTCCTCTCTAACAATAAGTCATCATATCTCAAGGATACAGGCATCAAGGAGGGTGAAGGTCTGTTTTAAGCGCAAGTTTTACCTGAAAGATTGGAATATGTAGAGAACTTAGCACAATCGTGCCTGGGCCTTCAGACACCTTCAGAACAAGGGGTTTCCACAATCAGGATCTCAATTTACGCCACTAAGGGGTGCAACTGAATGGGTGGCAACTGTTATATGACTTACTACTGACCTATTGATACTTGATATCAGATGTGAATAAACACTGACATCCCAAATAGATACCATAAAACCACCGATCAGCTTTCCTATGGACGATGTATGTGAGAAAGTAGAATGCCTGAAAATCCAGCCTGGTTAGATGTACTTTGGAAAATAAAATGCACTGAAGAACCGCAATGTTCTCATACCATCTGATAATGTAGAGTTGAAAGTGATGAGCACAACACAATTATAAAAATTCAACTGAATAGTAACTGATACTGAACTCTTTCATTCTCTAGCTGCAAACTTCTAATGACTGTCAAGATGCTTCATCCAATCTCTAATTAAAGGCTCAGTTCGCGATAATTCAATGGGCGGNGGCGGACACGTCATTGACATACCCGCCCATTGAATTATCGCGAACTGTGCCTTTGAGACATTTTGCGATTTTCGAAGTTTTCATCTCTACTTTTATATATTTTATTCAGGCCGCATACATATAACGAGGTCGTTCCACTTATATTCCATGAAATAAGGGTAACAGAAAGGAAATTTAGATATGAAGACTCACATTATGATCATCGGAGTACAGTAGAATACGAAAAACATCAAACAGATGAAATTCGCTGTACAATGAGAAAGGCATAGCTGTTGGAACGAATTCGATATTTTTCCGCCATTGATGAGTATAAACATCGCTAAACCGTTGCTGACTAAGCCGAGCAAGCCGACCTGAAATTCCCATGAACCATTTTCTCACAAAATACGCGTTCTGGTCAAAAGTCAAGTGACTAATTGATGAAAGTTGGGCATGAACGTTACTCCTTGTCAGCTGATGAGATTTTCATGAAGTCAATTTTAATTTAACCCTCCAAAATGGGGAATCTGACGTCCCAAGCTGACCTTAAATTCAAGTTTATAAAATCTTCATTCACTAATCCGTCCAATTTTTACATTTACCATCCCTTCTAAAATAACCATGTTCTATACCTGCCGCAACTGCCTTGTCCAAGTCATACCCATGAAAGCTTAGACAATGATTACTCCTATGAAACCCTTGATTCAAATACAGGTATCCCAGATTGGACGATACCATTTTCCACGGTAAGGACATCAGGGATCCACGGTAAGGTTTTGAAGGCCTTCTTACAACCGATAGACCTATGGATAGGCACACATCTATTTACGAGAGCTAAGTGGAGTAGAATCAAGCCACCTATGTTACAGTGGGTCATCTTGGGTAATTTCGGATCATTTGTCACTTACTCCTCCTACAATGCCAATTCCAATGAGATTGTCCGCTGTGACGTTGGCCATTTGACACCGTTAGAGCTGGCTGTGAAACGAATTGATTCCACACCTAAAATGAAGTCTCTTTAAGGATTAACGCCATCAAAGGGTCAGAAAAGAGCACAACAATCGAACTACAGTAAGAACCAAAACACCTAATGACAACTCAAAGCTGGGAACTGAAAAAGGCGGAGATGGCGCAGGTGACTTTCTACGATGCCGTGGGCGGGCTTTGCAACTAGGTGGGTGCAGGGCAGGGATCAAGTCCATGTTGGGGCAGATATAACCATCTCTGCCATTTCCATGATTTGCGCCAATCAGCCCCTTTTCGAGGTGCGCCACGCTTTCCACCTTCTTCCAAATCGTTACGACAGTTGGAACAGTTATTGCAATCTTCTCAAACAGTAGTGGAGCCACCAGCTTATCGTGAAAGTTGAAACAATCAGTTTATCCAGAAAGGACTGATCCGATCTATGACTGAACTGATTGAAATCAGACGCCCACCTCGACATCCAAGTGATCACAAGGGAGTTTACAGTCGCTGTAAATGTTCGGCTTGTTCATCGCGCACTAAGTTCTTAAGGGCAGAACTGAATCAACAAATTCCTCTAATCAGGATAGTCCTCCTACCGAAGCCCATCTAAAAAATACAAAAGGATCTCGAGGATTGAGATAGTGGTGCCTTCGACGTTTCACTACCTTTCCATCCCAGGCTTGAAGGTCTAAATCGACGAATAGGCAGTTCTCTAGACGAAAGAAAATATTACAAAAATACTTCATAACTGTTCGGAAAGCAATAAAGCATAAGTATAGTCCTGTAACAATGAAATGCTCTGCAAACAGTGCTGTAGACCTGAGGAGTTTTGCCACACAAACGAAGAATCATCTAGAAGAAGTGAGTAGCTCTTCGTAGCCACCAGCTGTTTCAGCAAGTTGGTGTATACGCTCACTACAGATCTCAATGCATCTACAGTAGGTAAATCGCACATCTATACATAGACCCTGCAAGTTTTGTTTTCCAATTCCATACAATTTTGCATATCTTCGAACATCCAAACAAAAAAACAGGTTTGCTTATTTTGGTTTGCGTGACAGATGGTTTTTAGTAAGAAAAACGCTGCTGCAAATGGAAATTACACGTTTCACATAAATCAGAAAAAAGGCTCACTGTGGCTAAAAAAGGCACGGAAAACATGTTTGCAAACTGTATCTTTTTCAATCGGAAGCAGTATGCGAACTGCTAGATGTCACAAGAATGCTGCCATAATCCAGGTGAGGTTACTGGCAGCCGACCGATGGCAGTTGCTTGGAATGCAGTTTCAGAACACCCGACAAGGAGCAAATCATTTAAGTTTGCAGTCATTGTAGTGCTCAGCGACTTACAAACAAATAACATCCGTATAAGGAGAGGAACCCTGCATATGTCAGCATGAAATTTTCCATTTCAGCCACTGTTCCAACGGAAAGGAAGTATTCCTAGAAATCACTATTGGAAGCGGAACGTAAATACCCTAAAATTCCATAGATAAGAGCGGTTGAAACTACCGGTGAAAAATGAATTGGAATGAAATTGAAATTGAATGCTGTCACCCTCTAACTTGATGGATGGATAAATTAAATTTCGAAGAAGAAGTTAAGAAGAAGCTCCGCCCCTTAACTCCAAACCCCGCCTACTTAATAAACAATTTATATAGAAAAACAGCTATCCGTTAAAATCGCTACTTTTCTATATGAATTGTTTATTAAGTGGCGGGAATTGGAGTCAAAGGGCGGAGCTTCTTCTTAACTTCTTCTTCGAAGTTTAATTTATCCATCCATCAAGTTAGAGGGTGACTGCATTCAATTTCGATTTCATTCCAATTCATTTTTCACCGGTAGTTTCAACCGCTCTTATCTATGAAATTTTAGGGTAATTGGGAGTCATTTTTGTGCAAGATTGTGCCAATTCCTAAAACCAAGAAGTAGTTCCTGGGAAATGATTCGAAAGTCATGGGAAGCCAGATTAAGTATGGGTGAAAAGCACGTTTTTGCGGGACTTTCCCACTAGAGCAAATCCTCATCAGAGACAAAACTGTGAGAATCTACGTGCAATTCAGGTAATTATACGGTTCACGCGAATAAGAAGTACGCTGGGAGAAGGAGAACGGCACAGACAGAAAACCATTCTGCACGTTTTTCCCACTTTCTACAATTAAAAGGAAGTGTCTGGGAAAGACTAAAGCTGCAATGGGAACCTTCATGGACCGAGACTGAAGAACATGTTTTTTCACGGCTTCCCTCAGTGAGTCAGATTTTTAAAAATAAAAGCTTCTTGCAACTCGGACAATTATGAACGAAGTTGTGCTAATCTCCTTTGATATAGAATAAAATTTATAATGCAGTTACATAAACAACCAAATTATGGCCGACTTCAAATACGGTAGCTCACAAAACATCTGATTTAACCACAAATTAGCTTCTTGACAAATAACATGTTTTTGAGAAGGCACGGTGGGCTATGCCATGCAAGGTCTAAACAGAATAATCACATCGCATCTCGCTTCTAAGTATTCCAGGAATCCAGTACAGCGATCAGCTTCTGAGGAGAGAAACGGAAAAACATCCCGCAGTACCCAAAACGAAACATCAGTCAAATAAGGGGCTGTTAAAATCTTTGTTGCACTGCTTAGATGGTCAAAGTTACAACTTGCTTCAGTAATTGGACTAGAATTTTCTGCGGAGTAATATTTCCGTCCTTTTTCCCTTTCACACTGCTAGTCATGGCCCAAAAAAGAACTACAATAATATCAGGAAAAGTGGGATGGGCGAATAAAAAGCCCTTAACCCAGGAAGCTTTTTATGAACCGGTTTCCGGCGTACTGTCCATGTTAAGATGAAGCATAGTTTTTTAGTGTTAGTCGTTCCCCTCTGAGTTGCGTCCATGTGTTCGCTTCGGGAGACAAGCAGTTAAATCGGTTTCATGTAGTCGATTCGCCGCACACGGCATTCGCGGGCGAGTTGCTTCGTTATTGCAGCTTTAGCGTTCTTCATACAGCTCGATCGACGTGCGATTATTATTTACGACTTAATTCCACTGTTACTTCTTGACTCCTGTTTTCCTTACTTGCTGCGCTGCTTCTGCTTCGTTCTTCTCCAGTCCTCCGTGCGCGACCTCGCTCTTACCGCAGAGCGGTCATTGTGAGTCAACTGCACCACTCCCGTTCACTTCCATTCAGAATCACAGTGTCGTTTGAACCTGTGACCTTTACAATGGTTTGCAAAGTTTCAAGCGAGTACGGTACCAGTTAACCGATAGATCGGAGGAATGGAAGGCTTGGTTGGCCTAGACTAAATTAAACTTTGATGGCCTAAGAGGGTATCAAGCAGGAAGCAATCCACGTATCTACCCTGGCTTCATTTACTCACTTACTATAACTCTAAATGGAACTTGAATAGAATCAAGAGTGAAAAAATCCCTATTACTAAATGCTCAAAAATCTCTTTAGAAATTGTTGTGCGGTGAGGTTAGTTTGAATGGGACTAATTGAAGGCAAAAGTACTCCAGGGCATTCGATATTTTCAAATGAATAAAGTAACAGAAAGGGGCCTTGAAAAATCAAATAGGGATTTGAGTGTTAATCAGGTAAAAAAATATCAAGCCTCTGAGCATTTATCAGTCTCGTTTGAGGGATGCGCCCCGCATTCGAGTTCCAATCAGAATCGCAGTAGCCATTGAATGCGTATGTGGTCCATACAAGGACTTGCGCTGACCAGGCGATGCACAAATCAGTGCTTTTATGCTCCCATATGGATCTAACACCAATAATCCGACCTGAAAGGATGGTGGTTTTGTACTCAAGCACATATTAACCCGGGATCTGAACCCTGACTATGCATGTGTGATAGTGCGGCACTTGCCACTTCACCACCTCCACCCCCTATTTCATTGAGCCAGTTGGCTGTTATAAGATCGAGTTTCATATGATATAAACAGACAAGTAATTTCTAAGGCTCACTTGCAATACCGATACTTTCGTCGGTATACCAGTAGTCTTTGTAGCTTCCTCCATAGTCACCGAGTTGCAAACATACTCACCATCAATTCCATTTTGTGTTCACTTGCTTGACTTTTTGTAGAACTGTCCACGGTCGTTGACATCACTGTAAAAATTATGTCTATAAATAAATAAAAATAATTCTGCAGTAAGTTATCAGTATGAAGAAAGCATTGATCAGTAGAAATATACAAGAACGTCGAGGCACAGACAACAACAGGTGCAGTCGCATAGAAATTTCGATCAACTACTGAATATGTTATTATTTTTTCCAACCGTGACCCTATTAAATCTCATTTCCTTCACTAACAAACATATTTATTAATAAACACAAAGAAGGCCATTATGCTGCAGGTCAGAAATGAAATACTCAAATATTCAGTAGCTATCAAAACAGCCTTACTATCACACCTGCCACTATCAGAGCCTGCATATTCACAAAATTCTATTCTGGGGTATTATGTATTATTGACTTCGCAACAGTTGCTCAGTTTTTATTTATCAACAGCACATGATAAGGTGATGAAAATGCAAGAAAATAAGGAATACAAGCCATTCTCTGTCAGCCACGTCAACTTACTGCCATGTTGCTGCGTAAATAGTATGTAGTACTTGACTGGATTAAGCCGTGACCATTTACTAAAACCGAAAGGTCGGAAATTGTCAAGGCCCTATGTTGGGATGTGATCATTGAACTAGGCTGTTTTCATGCCACAACACTCACTGTTTGTATATTGGGCCGCAAAACCTACTGACCGATACATGCCACCGTCGTTACTTCGTTGAAACTATGTCGCCGAACATGGGAGCACGGAAGAACTTCAAGAAATCGTTTCGAGATCCTTTATCTTCAACCCCTGCAGGGTGAAGGGTCTTCGAACGACTTGCCGAGACCGCTGCACGCCAACACCACAACTACATCAATGAATTCATAACTGACAGACGTTGACAGGTTAAAACATGTGTGATGGTTGGATATAAGATGACATCAACACGTTTTACAAGTGAAAACGTGTCCAAACACGGTTCATCTCGTTCTTTCCTGCATATCCCCTAATGTTGCCAGCGGGAACGCGAGACTCATTCCGCAGATTTCGGATGGCGAGCGCGGCGCGATTTTCTGGGAGAAGTACCTACACCCCAAGTTTGCACTCCCATTACCCGTAGTCTTTAATTATTAGGAGAGTTATCAATCGGTTACGAGAAACCAAAGAGAGCCAGAGAAATATGGGTGTGTTTTTACCCACACTACCTGTAGCCTTTAGTCATTGGGAGAGGTATCAATCAGTTACAAAAAACCAAAGAGAACCAGATGAATGTTGCTTACATATAGGGCTAATTGTAAGATATCAGCTTGTTCTAACTGAGAGGCGTCACACAGTTTTGAAGTGACTGTGATATCTTATCTAACCAGCTAGATCAAACCGTTCCATCCCTATAGGAGTGACTGTATGCTATAGAAGGTCCTGAAGAGGTCAAATTACTATACCAGTTAATAATTTATCCATTTCTTATTGATCAGACACTGAAATGATGATCCCAAGACAGGAAGGGCCAGACTAAAGCATAAAATGAATTAATAAGCAAATACTCATTTGTTTTGAAATCATACTCCCATTCCAGAAATAGGAATGGAGAGAAAGAACTTCTCTATCGTAGTGGACTTTCGAACATCATTTGCGTCGTGGTTCATTAGTTGGAATCATGCCTAGATAGTTTGAATACTATCTAATCTGCTCAAACTAGGTCTAAAACACTCTTGATTAAGGTTTTCATTATGATTTATACTAGAAACTGTAGACGGCAGTTAGTGAATTGGGCAAATTCAAGGAAATTGTTTTCCTGTTGGATTAGACAGTGAATAGATAGAAATGAGCGAAGTGTTAGGTCTCAATTAGAGCAAATCTGCCTAATCAACATGGGCCGCGCACCTTCCATTCCTTATAATACTCCATTCGCGTTTAAGATTGCTGTAATGAATTTGGATGAGTTACTAGAAGATAACTCAGAGGTGAAACGTCAAACTTCAAAAAAAATTTTCGTAATTCTTTTTCCAAGATTATGCTTTGTGTCGCTACACCACACGGAACGTGCGAAGTCTTCCAACATTTCAGATATACATGCCCCAAAAATTGCTAGTTGTTGACGAAGATTTTCAGCTGCAAGGTTCAATCAATAAAATCGTCAAAATTTTTACTTTCCCAACAGAGTTTCCAAGAGACAGAGGGATGAAAGCGTCGCTCGCCCTGGTCGAGTTTCATTACGGGGTTTTATCATCGCTCTACTCGCCCTAGAACGGAGCCTTCACCCAACATTCGCGAGAATAAGTAATTCTTGAAGAAAGATTCTTCTCCAGTAGAACAAAAAATACAAAATTGTTCAATCTCTGCTCTTTTAGTTCTCCAAAGAATCGGGGTGGGAGGGGGAGGTGGGTAGAACATTCGAGAAACTCAAGACAAAGCCTAAGTCCAGCCATTCAAAAAAAAGCCCAAACTAGAAAAAGACAAGATTTGGAAAATAGTGAACTGTGTTTAACGACAAACTTAAGCTTTCTTCGAAAAAATTTCATAGTTATCGACGAGCAAAAATCATTGAACTACAACAACTACTTATTACTTGATACTATTAATATTATACTAATCAATACTGAGTTTGTACCCAATAAAAGAAACATCAAAAACAAAAAACGAGCTAAGAAAAGGGAAATTTTCATGATTACGCAGTAAAAAAAGGTGGATGTTGATCGATTGATACCTCGACAGCTGGCGTCATCTCTGTAGATCATGATCACCTACCGTATACCCGACCCATAATGGGATGAAGATCAAGACGACTTCTTCAAAAGTTTTTCATGCTTAATATTTTCTTTTTAGTCATTCTTCGTGTTGTACCTTTAGAATAAGTTCAATAAATAGAATAGAAGAAAACAGACCTCAAGTATTTCTATCTAGATGCTTTATTTCAGAAAATGTATTTGAAGATAACACATTGTAGCAATTCCAGAATGCTTGGAGATTAAGCCCGATGAATAGCTTTAAATTTTTCTTTCAACAATTCTATGTAGCACCCCTCTTAGTAATACACAGTAGTGGAGAGGAGTTTGGGAACTTACTGTCCATTTGTACTGTAAATACAGTACACCCTGCTGTATGTTTTTACCATATTTATCCATGTAGTAAATCAGCAGAACTAACGAATTGAGGACTAGGAACGAAGGTGTATTCTACGCACCACCAAACCGTACCGTATTGTTGTCGTCTGCAAGAAATTTGTTTTCTTGGGATGTTTTAGAGATCACCTGGAATGTTAGTTCTAGTCGTGAAGTGAAAGTGAAAGCTAATCATCACTGAATTACAAGGCCAAGGTGATTAATTATGTTGTGACCAAAGATCTAATTGTCTGTTGAGCTATTTTGAAGAGCGTTCAAAAATTAGTGGTTGTATTAAAATAATTACCATATTTAGTACTGCAATCAGAAGCGATAATTGCTTTCTTGAAGAACTCCTCCTACAAATATCCGAATTGCTATATAAATTCAATATAGCAATTAGCGACGATGATTGGTCGCTTAGCGAAGTTCCCCCTGACCACATGATTTATAAGGGTTACTAATTGGATTCACTATTCAGGCATTGAAAATGGTGAGCCTTTTATAAAGTTGTTTCCATAATGGGTCGAGTAATCTATATTTTGAAATGGGGTACTCGATGCCTATCGAACTGTAAGAGTTAAGCCATGTTGCCGGTTACCATTCGACTTGTAGACGCCTCTGAATGCGTATTCGGTGGCTACGAAAGTGTGCCAGAGGTGATATCTTGTCCTATTTTTTGGGGAAAGTCATAAGCTATTTGATAATTGAGTGGAGGTAGAACATCTGCTTTACAAGGGACTCGATTCTCAAGAATTTATGGTATAGGCCTCCCTGAAAATGAAGAAGAAAATGAAAATGATCGAGAATATTTAGCTCCAACACTCTCAAAACAACCTTCCTTGACTACGCGCCACAACAAGCTTCACGGACGAAACGGAACGAGCGAAGTAAAAAACTGTTCGAGTCATCACTTCGGCTAAACCAGTCACGGTATTTCGCAGTCCAGAAGCCCTCACGTTAGAGATAAACTTTACAGTCCCCTGGTAGGCATTTCCATAAAGGGATCACATTTTCTTCAATCGAAAGTTTTGTCTGTTTGACGTCGCTGTCGATCCGACGTTCTACGCGGGATCGGACCATCGTCTCCTCCGCGCTAGATTCTGCTGCTCAGAGCGTGGAGAGAGAGTTCTGAAGCTCAGGAAACGAAGTCCCATGACTGTTGTCAACTGGGATCACTTCATCCCTCTTACTCGATCGCTTCCTTCTGCTCAGCTCCAGGGCTAAGCAGAAGGAAGCGATCGGCATGGGCAGTGTCCGATATCAGTGAGAAAACATTGTCATTGCGTCACTGCGTCATTCAACGCCCTGTAGAAAAGCATTTATTGTTATCTCATTTCACTCCACCCAATTGTTCCGAAACTATATTTATATGCGAAACGCGTATTTTACATATGCGAAACGAAGACTAATACACAAGAATCTCGTTCATTTCAGCGTTCGCCGCGCTCCATTTGTTCCCTTTTCTCCAGTCTCTTCGCCCAGTGACAATCCAAATCATACGGTTTGTCGTCTACCTGGAAAAACAAGCACTCAGAGATCCATGCCCTGTGTGAATGCTGGATCTATTGTTAGCCCTATGGCATGAGAGTAATCAATGAAAGAAGTCCTATGAACTCTTGAAGAGCGTTCATGCCATGCATAAGACTGGAATTTCCCGAATCAGAAGTTCCCACAAGAAAGAAGGCGCGTCGCACAGCCCTAAATTGGGGAACTTGGTAGGGAATGGAAGGAAAAGTGGGTAGATGAGCAGAGGGATGAAAAAGCTTATAGGGTCGTTGACGAATCAATCAAATGCATTCCATTATTCCTCAAAAAGTCACCTCATTCATCTACCCAACCTATTTCGCTGCTTTGTATCGTCAAAAGGAACAAAGGGCTGAACTCGCTTTCCAATGTCACTATCGTTTTGTCCCCTACTGTAACCTCTACTTCACTGTGCACTAGACGATTCTAAGGATCGCGGCACGTTCCCTATTCTTTCAATATACTTGGAAATCGTTTGTTAACTTACCAAATAGTACTCGCCATTCGGCAAAGGGCGATTGCAAGATGAACAAGCGAAACAGCGAGGATGCCAATGACGGTCGAGAGCCAGAAGGCAAGTGTCCACCAGTGTCTCCATGCAGCCTATATGGTTCACCTGACTTCATAGTAAAACCAATCTCTTCTCCAGGACAAAGGTTTCTCCCACTTCATTCTTGACCTCGCAAGTGAATGCTCCACCCTTTTTGCAGCCCCTTTCACCTCCTCCGGAATCATTGCATTTTTTGGCCGATTAAGGGTTTACACTACCGAAACCTACTATTCCAGGTGGGAACCTTGCCAGACATCATCTTGGACTGTAATAGCGACATGTCGGTCCAGCCACTCACATCGCCATGACATACATTGAATTATATAGGGGTGAGGTGTTTCGGATGAAATGCATTGAAGATTCTCGATTGTTGCAAAACATTTTACCTGCACACTTCGGATTATACTTCTGAGCGAAGCAGTGTACGCAGTAGGCGTGGCTGTCAGCGGCCTAAACCTTACTCAATTTTAGAGAATGGCCTTCCGCCAACGTAGGAAACAATTAAAAAATGAACCAAAACTGCCAAAAAACCCGTATGCAGCAGTAGATTCAATTGTGTTACCCGCCGAGTGTTACCGCCTTCTTCTCCGCGTCTATCTTCCACCCTTTCTGAAGTCTGCTAAGAGCCAAAGTGATGAAGCCCATGTGAGTCGCTGACTAGACCTCCATGGAAAGGGAGATAGTGGAGAATGAGTATGTTATCAAGCCTTCAAGAAAACGGACAACGGGCTAAATGACAGCCCTTTGGGACCAGGCCATGCACATTTCCTCCCTATTATCTAGTTCTCTTTGAAGATAACTAGATCCAGAAATAGCAGGACTTAGCGTGCCAGCTAGGTATATATTCCGCTGTATTCAATTGAATGATACAGTTCCAAGTCACCCTTTTAAGATATCGTCGTGGATCGAATGCATGGCGCATCCCCAACATTGGCCAATTTTACCTTTTCCGATCCTCTACACTCTCTAGGCTCATACCTGGTAAGTCTGCTTAATCGGGCGCTTACAAGCGGTACAGGTGAAGTGGTCTGGATGCCAAAGACGATTCATTGCTACCACTGCCTGAAAAAAGTCATATTGGAATGAATTCGGACGAGCTCTCGCGCTTGGAGCCACAGCCAGACACCTTTACAAAACAGCCAACAACTTCGTTACCTCATCACCAATAGATGTATGGCATTGGCCACAAAGTCGTCGGTCAGCTGCTCTATCCATACGGCCGTCCAGGAATGACGAATCCAGATAGAATGAGAGCAAACCCTACCGTGCTACCTGCTTTGTTTGGAATGAAAAAAATAATCAGCCGATGGGATGTAAACAACTGTTCTACATGAACCAAATAACAGCTTTGTCCTCGACGCTTCCTTTTTTCGGTAAACGCCATACAAGAGACTTCTTTTGGAGTCGCGTTATTTGAATGTGTTATAAGCACGAAAATTTTTGGAACTCGTCATTCCACTGTCTGCTCAAATCCGTCTACCTACTTCTTGCTCATTATTTCTTAGCACAATCCCCCCCCCCCCCCCCTCCTCAAAGGACGATACAATATGTTTCTGCAGCAAATACGCATGACAATCGTCACTTTTAAAAATTGTAGTTATGGCGCTCCAGAAACGACCGCGCCGCTCTCGACGTAGAACTTGCTAAATTGCAGGCTGTCAGCTTTTTTTATACGTAAATAAACTACTTTTACAAATTCACGTTTTTTAACCTCACCTGTGTTCTATCGTGAGGAGAGGGAAAGAAGGTTAAAGAGCATGTAGAAGGCTCCCATTATATCATGTGAAGCTGCATTCGATTCATCATAAGCTCTGAGCTTAACTTCATATTTCATCTTGTTTACGTCTTTGAAATAATTATGATTTTCTCTGAATAAAATAGTTTACGAGTTTGATGGATCAATAATGGACTTTTGACCGCAAGTAAGCTCAGAAATAGCTCATTATTCATTCTGTTCTCATGCACCGCTCTCTAGAACCCACAGTAATACGAGGCTTTTCATTTCGTTACTACTCTTCGTAGGCTTTCTTTGGTGTGTGAATTAAAAGTGTGTTTTACTCTTTACTACTTACAGGGAATGACACATATGGTGTTTTGTGACATATGCAATCGAAAACGGCCGGTGAAGGGAGCTCGAAATGCGTCATGTCAACCTAAGCGTAATGCAGTGCTGTTGGCATGTCTGGTAAAGCTGAATATCATCAGCCTGACTAGGGCACGACGAATTTTTGACGAGCTGGTACAAACAACAACGCCCACTCGAAATCATAAACGATTTTGTAGGGAACACTACGCAGAAAGTGTAAGAATTTTTGCTGGTTATTTTATTCTCTTTATGTCTGATTTGTTTCTCTTCACAATAACTTTTTACTGTTGTTTTATGGCAAAAGTGAAAGATTCCGTGTTGTCCATTTCCCCTCTGTGATGCGCTATGAACTCGGATCCTACAATTGCATTCGCGGAATTTGGCATGCATTGAGGTCTCTGTTTCCAGTCCCATGCAATAGTCCAAATAATCGAACTCGAAGTGATGAAAGATTGATGACTGAGTATCGATAGGATTATATGAACCATGGGATTCAATATATTATCCTCGCATTTGTAAGTGGAACCACTTTCTTAACTGCAATTAGCAATGCCTCGTAAAGCTGCTGTTGTCGCAACGTATTAGTCATTTTATGGCGGTCGATACATGTTGTAATAGGAGATAAAGAAAGGCGAAAAAACCAAACTATTTTGCTTTTCCCCTTGCTAAAAGCTTTCAAAATTTTCTTTATGCTGCCTACCCCCTATTGAGGCTGTTTGCCCCACTGCCTCACTTAGTGGCGATTCGGGGAGGAGTTTCGCAACAACAAATTTCAATATTTTCCTTGGGAGTACTATGCAGTTAGCGCTTATCACATTATCAACCAACAAAAAGCCAAATGACTATAGCCTCTTTTGATGTTTGAAGATAAGCCCGCGGTCGCGGCGTTATCACAGCATCAATGCCTAGTCCAAACTCCAGGTCAAAGGTTACATGAGCGCAGGAGGTTGAACTACGCATTCAATCGTATCGATGTGCTATTCTTATGAAATTAAATGTTACGGACTTAAAAATCATAAAAAGGAGTTAGGTAATAGTCAAGGGTATGGATTCATAGCCAACCAAATGAATTCATACCTTCACTAGCGATTTGCTGCAGGTGTCGTTTCTTGCTGCAATGGTTGAGATGAGAACTGGTCGAGATTCATGTTATGGACTTGACGCTGTTCCTCAAGAAGTTCTTGTGGATGTGCTGGAAGAGTTGGATCTGCTAAATAACCGTTTCGACGTAAGTTATTTTTAAGTCAAATATCTATAGAAAGCTCTGGCCACTTAATTACGGTCTGGACAAATTAGCCTTTCTTTGGTAGGGGCGTTTTTCAGGAAAAATTGAAGTTGAACGTTTTTGATTTGTCAACATTCTACAATTCGTATGCTTCCGATATTCATCATAACACCGGAAAATGGCGTCAATGCATACAGGTAATCGTGTTTTGGAGCCACCCGCTGACAATGTGAGCATCTCAATTAAGTTTCCAAAACCTTTCAGGATCTTGCTGCGCTCAGAGCTCCAGTACAAAGTGCAAAACAAGAAGCTGATGAAGTTCTTTCTGACGCAACCCTCAACCTACCTATTAATGCTTTACCTCCGATGGACACCTCAGCGAATCAAGATTTGTTCACTGATGTAGTTCCAAAGTCAGAGCCACAGTACCCGGACGACCCCGAGTTTCCTGAAACCGATCCCACATTAATGGATAGGTATTTTCTCGTGAGAGGTAAGAAACTCATGAATCTCTTTCGATTTTGTCCACAATGTGGACAGAAGGTTCGCCGTACCGCTCTAACTGCCACTGGTACAGCTCCTGTTGTACATTTTCTTTGTGACGCTTGTAGTTCAACGGCAATGAAGTGGGAAGGTCAGGATTTATCGATGTCTCAGTAGATTTGAGAAGGGAATTAAAGGTTCGAGTTTAATTTAAATCTTTCAACAGATAGGGTTTTGCTCATTGTATATTTGGATACATGCTTAAGAAGATCTCATGTACATACTCAGGAATTACATTTTTGTATTAAAACACGCCCTTATGAAGAAAGCCCTGAAAAATTCTTAGCTAGCTGAAATTTCTTGCCTATACCCGATTAACAATTTTTGTTTCTTAATTTGTTATCTTGAAGCAATATTTCACAGAATTTTCAGAGTAGCGAATAAATCTTATCTAAAATTATATGAGTTATCACACAAAGAAGTTTTCTACATGATAACCGAAAAGAAATCGCCATTTTTTCGGGCTCGCTCCGATAAAAATGCTCATTGACGCCTTCTCTTCACCAAAACAAGTGCATATGTTATTTACCGGGATTGCTTACGCTCTCAGTTTTCCTGTTTCACGCATATTGCCCCTGTATTTGATCTAAGCCAATTTCATGAGAGTATTCTTCATATCCTGACTATACACTCCTGTGGGTTCCTGTTAGACGAGGAAGGAGTTGAAAAGTCTACCTTTCATAGAATATCAAGTTATTCAAAACCATTGGATTAGTTGCTTAATTTTCTTCAAATGGGGAACTTTCTCATTAATCTTCACCCTATACTTTTTAAAACTTATTGGCCCGTATGCACAACTCCCGGGGTAGGGGAAGGGAAGGAAATGTTTGCGAAGGGCGCGAACGTTCAAATGGTAGGTTTTGGGTCAAGATAGTGTCAATGGAGCGATGTTTTTTCCTATAAACAGATGAAGAATCGACAGCCCTCGATAATCATATGATGTTTTGCCTCTGCGACCTTACCTTAGCGAGAGCTCAGAGAAGCCCGACCCCATTATCTCCCCACCCTGGGAGGGGGATGAATCTACCCCTAGAATAGAGCTGGGGCGCCGATGGTCATGTAGACCGCAACTCTGCTATTCACTACATTATTCGGCTGAGCGCTTATTCCTCTGACTTCTGCTGCCGAATTCGTCAAGTATTGCTCCGATTTTATTCTACTGCTGCGACCAACTACCAATTTATTTAAATTGCTGACGTCGTTGCTGTAGAGCAGTTTAGTTTTCAAATATACAGGTTTTTCTTTCTAGACTTACGCCAGTTATCGTGAGCATGGTGCATCGCGATCCTGGTGTGATTTGAGAAGGAAACCGAAATTATTTCTGTCATCAACTCGTTAGTACTTTTTCGGTTGATTAGTATAATATTTCATATCCTATTACATTTTAATCTTCGTACTCCTGGCTATTCCTGTCGTAGAAGGTAGTGGCCACATCCGTAGTATTAATTTATTTTATGGTTCAGTTTTTTCCTTAGCACGCAACTTTGAACATGAATTGAGTACTGTTTGGTGTTGCTGTAGTGACCTTCTACTCGCTTTGCTCTTAATTTTGTAACAACCCTGTCTTGTATGTGAACATTCGCACGGAATGGCCATTTCTCGCCTAGTGCGAAAACATGACGCCTATTATGCTGTCCACATCTTTCACGAGCGAGTGAAAGATGAAGTGTTGATGATGTACGATGATAGCAGCAGTAAGAAAGCCCGGCGCTTATAGCAAAAAAAGCATGTTTTCGAGCAAGAGTTATGTGTATAGCACCTGTAAAGGTTGAAATAGACGCTGCAACGGACTGAGATGTTTCGATGCGGCCGACTTGGTGAGTGGTCTATCGACTAGATGTATATCAGTGAAAGCGACGAGGAATAAGCATTGGGAGATATGAAGCCTAATAGAATTAGGATTGCAGTGCTGGAAGTAGATGCGTTGAGGAGGATTACGTGGAGTAGGTGNCCCTCCCCTACCCCGGGAGTTGTGCATACGGGCCATTGAGAAGACTTTTTACAAGTCACATCACCACTTTAGTGAAACTTTGTGGTAATACTTGTCAACTTCGCACCAAAATCAATCAAACAATGAAGCAACGATTTATGAAAATAACAGCTCAACATCTAAATTGTTTAACATCAGGTAGGATTACCAGAGTGATAACGTAACTCATCATATTTCCATCAAAATTTCTTTTTTTTTCACAATCGTATTTTACCTAGGAATCATTTGTAAAAATATGAAATAAATGGAAACATCCGTCTAAGTTGCTACACAGTCACTAATTCTGCTAGCAACCTATTAATAAAGTCAACGTTGGAGATATTCAGCTTGCAAAAGCTGTAACTGTCAGCTCAGCCTCATATAGGACGTGTTGTTGCTGCCTGGAAGCCTCTTGTGCGTTCCCCTTGTCAAAAATCTCTCAACGACTGGGATTTTTCGAAAAAGGCGAAGTATTTGGCAAACTTAGAGAGGGTTATTCAAGCTGCTTACGTATTTGAAGTAAAGACATCTTTAAAAATGCAAGGTCACGAAGAGCCTCCTTACAACATCTGTGAGGCATGAAAACAAGGCATAACTAGGAAGAAAGAGAAGAAAGGAAAATTATATTGTTCACAGGTTTGGTTCAAAAGGTCAAAAATACTAGGACCAGATCACTTAGTTACACCGGTAAATAAGAAAAAAAGTAATTTCGCTGCACCGGTAATTTGAAAAGTTGGTAAAGGAATATCAATTACAAAATAAATCTAGAATACAAGTCTATTCTGTTGATCATGACCCAATTTGTCGAGATTCGGATGACATGCATAGTTAATCATCGGCGGTGGGCCACACATTAGGACTGCTGAATCTTCTGCAGGGGCTGAAAGGTGCTCCTGAAACGAAAAACTTGGATGGATACCATCCGCTACATAATTCAGAAATGAATGGAAAACGCGTTCAACTATGACACACTTTGATCATGACGTCATCTATAAAACCGGTCGAATATTTCCAAAGAGCAGGTGGACGATCAACTGTATACCACACTTTGAATCTGTCACTATGCTTTGCGGCTAACTCGTCCAACTCTTTCCTTAAAAGGAAGGGGATAATTTTACGGTAAAAAAGGAACTATTTGACAATACCTGCACAAGATATCATCTTCTGACTGGTTAGCAAAAAGTAAACTGATGTGAGTCTTATCTTCAGGATCCTTCAGAATGGCTGTTATAATCTGTAAAAAAACAAAAATTACAAATTGCAACTGCAGTCTGACCGGATGATGATGAAGAATAAAAAAAGCAGTGGAAACGATTACGGTTACCACCTTGATATGCAAGAAGTGACCATACTACAGATCGATCATAAAGCAAACGCAAGAGCCTTTCCTACCCTACGGCTCTCCCTAGCAATTCGGGCCGGAGGAGAAGACAAAGACTTATTTATAAGATTGATTTCACTCAACAGAACCTTCTACTGACCTGTAACATTGGAGTTATACCAGTTCCACCCGCAATCATTGATATTTTCTTGAAAACGCGGTCTTTGGGTGGTGATTTCTTGTCCGGCCGTACAGCGAATTTCCCGTTGCCTTTATAAACAATCAACCCTGATGGCCCACGGAAATCAATCTGAAAGGAAAACCATCTGAGGACGTGCACTAGGTTGGTCACAAAACCGCTTCCCTACCGTATCGCCAATTTTCATCTGCTCCAGATGTTGGCTCATTTTACCTCCGTCCGGAAACTTTGGATGGACACCACGAAAATAGACCTAAAATCAAAAAGGAAAATTTCAGACCTAGGAATATGTAAGGGACCTTCACAATGAATACAGAATTGTAAGAAGCAGATGCAAGCTTTAACTGAACTTGATCATCAGTTCGACGTAACCCAAATCGTCATCACTGGACACGGGCGTATATGGACGGACGACAAGCTTTCCATCTATCTGAAATTACAAAATCTGTGATAAGTCCCGCACCAACAATCGAAAAAGTAAAAAAAAGAAACTCGATTTAGGAATACTACTCATCCCGAAAAATTCAAAAATGTTGTTAGAATTCCCTATGAATAATCCCCATTGGCAATTTTCTTATTACACATCCCAATGAACTTTTAGGCAGCTCAACTGATTTCACTGTGAATGAAAGATGAACATGGTTAGGTCTCCAATGGGCTCCTACACTTTCGCTGGTCATTCCTGGGCGTTTTTTTTTTCGGCATTTCTACCCATCTCTCCGCATATCGTCACAAGGTCACACATGTATTAGGAAGAAAGGCAAACATACTTTGATCATCTTTTTTTTCCTTTTCTGGCCCCTTTCGCCATGAGAACTGGTTATATACCCTACCATTATTTAATTCATGCCATCTATGCCTTCTCACCCTAATCATCGTTATTACTGCACCATAAGAAATAAGTCATCATTCACACTACAAGAAATGAAACTTTTTCTTGGCCAAAAGTGAATCTTCCAAAAAAGAACCGCCCTGAGAGAGTTAAGTCTGTTCGGAAGGGCGTCTTTGAGAAAGATTACGGCAACTATTAAGATTAAGGTCACGAACTTGTCCAATAAAGGGAAAAGAAGCAAAAAGTGTGAGGTGCAGAGAGCGTGCATCACAAAATGGCTTCTTTAGCCGAAATCTTGAATACAAGCCTTTCCACAAACCGAAAGCATAACCATAAATGAAAAACGCAAAAAGAAAACTAAAACCCACTTTAGCGCTCAGGTACACATGTTGTCCAACGGGAAGGCCTAGCACATGTTTTTCTGAAGGCAGTCGGAAGCGGAATTTGCGTGTATCATGACTGACTTCTATTTTCTCCGCTAATGGAAGAGCATACTTAGTCTCTTCATCGACCAATGTCACAGGATTCTGCAAGGAGCGAATGTCAAAACTGGCTCAGCAAAACAAAGATACTAAAAGCGTGTAAAAAATCCGTGCGAAAAAAATCTTCTTCACCTTCGAACTGCAGAAAAACATGCATTTCTTCTTCTTCAAGAAATAAACGGCAGCTATAGTGGAAATGAGCAACACCACACATGTAACAGCTATTGTCGGCTTGTCCAAACCCATCTTGTCCTCAGACTAAAAAATATTTTATGAGCGATGAATCTTCTACATATCCTACTTCTTACAAATGTTTGGTCCCTTTACGAGAAATCGCGGCGAGTTTTGATGAACTTCCTATCCTTCAAAGAATTTTCTCGCATTGAGTAGAAGCCAAACGAAAAGGAAAAGAACATTCTTGAAAAATTTTAACCCAAAACTAATCTTAGACATCAGCCATTTCCATGTCATTTTCTTGTCCCTGGGTAAAACCACAGAATTCTAGCTAATACCTTTAGAATCTGAAGAAATCTTTTTTTTTGCATCAGGTTCCCCAAAAAGTGGTTTTCTACTCCCCCCCCCCNCCCCCCCCCTCCCCATTGCCTATTCCTTTGCTAGATTGAAGATGGACGACCAGAGGAAAAAAATCCTCAAGAAGCAATGAGCTAAACCCTGAAGACCTCATGAAAATATGCTATCAGATTTTGCTAAAATGAGGTCTAAAATAGCTAAAGCAAGAATACAAAGTAGCGCACTTCCAAGACTACCCAACAGAACAGGGAAACCCCTTCGCCCATGAGAAATGTAAGGCCGTGAAAGAAGAAAAAATAAACAAAGGAATATCTAGGGGCCTCGGTTCTCAGGCAATACAGCTTGGAAACATAGGTGTAATTCAACTAAATTATCGTCACGCCTTTGAAATCAATGCAACGAACGCATTTAGAGTAGCTGGCATGCCGAAATGTTAATTAACCACCAGGCAGTCAATCTAGAATTCTGATTATGTACTCAACAACGGACTTCATAATAAGGAGAGCATTGAAGGACCAAAATTCAGAGCATCCACCTAGACAGGATCCTAGGAATAGTTTTTCGCGTAAAATCAATGAATCTATCACCTACCACTAGGTTATCAGTAGGTTTTGTTGCGGCCATAGTGAAGAGAGAAAGGTCGACAGGAAAAGGCAAATGCGGGCAAAACTGGCTCACATCAGCACCGATAACAACCACTTCAGCGTTGCCGCAAAATTGGCGTGAGGAATGCGGCACTTGTGACCGTTGAGACTGCAGAACGTCACGCATGCATGCCACTGTACTTAGGTAATTGAACCATCATTGTCAACACTCGACAACACATAATCGTAGCATGTTTATTTCTAAACCCATTGCATTGCACAACATGCAGCAGGATTGGCGGAGACAAACAAAAGGAGAGAAAGAGGAATCAAGACGTTAACACCCTCCTACGATGAAGACAGAAGAGCTCTTGACTGGAAAATGAAATTTCACACGGATTGCGATCAACACATAACAGTTCTGCCGAGTAAGGAAAATGATCACAACATCAGTTGAACCCAAATAACAAAAAACGAAAAATCTTCTCAAACAATCGACGACGACAGCCGCTCGACGGTATCTTCAGACGAAACGAAGGATTCAGCAGCGAGGAGGGTGGTGTTACGTACAAACGAGCAGAATGGTGTAAGCCCGGAAGTATCGACCAAAACATCCCACCTCGAACTGCAACAGTGATTTATATAAGAAAAATCAGTTCCTAAAATGATCCCCCTCGACACCCCAAAGTGAAACCAACCCCTGGCCAGTAGTTGGAACAGTTGTGAATAGCTCTGCTGGCGCAGTCGTTGACGTATTAAGAGCGCACAGCTTGACAGGCTGCTTCCTGACACCGTCGGCTCCTGTTTGGCGGACGGCGGATTTCATACGGCGGCAGAGCGACACATCGGGCTGGACCAGAGGTGGAAATAAGGTCAAACCAAATGAACAAAGTGATGGAGGCGAAAAAAGTAATTTCCAGAAATTATGATATGAGGACACTAAACGAGGAAAAGAAGTAGATGATACATATGATAGTAATTCTTGAATCGAAAATTTTTTGCTTGGATAGAGAAGAGATAACAATTCGAACGTAATTACTTGAAAAAATTTACAAAAGAACATTAAAAAATAGGATTTCCAATGGTCGCCAGCCGCCGCACGAGGTCAATAGTCATCAAAGTTAATCTCATCAAACTCGTCAGCCATATCGTTCATTAAGTCCACCCGATAACGGAGAAGACCTAAACGAATGAACTAACAACTAAATTAAGAACTAATACAAAAATATGCGATCAGGTTTTACCTCCGATTCCTCCGAATCCTCGTACAAACTGAGCTCCTTCTTGTGACTTGTCAGTAACAATTTCAAGAGTAGCACCGAAGTTCTAAAAGATAAATTCGAAAATACTACTCAGGAAATGCAGAGAAAAAAAACCAACTAACCTTGTAGTTGTTAGCAAACCATTCAAGTAGTGGCATCGTCTCCACAATTTCCATATCCTGCCCAGTTTCTTTATCCGTGAAATGCGACTTATCCCGTTCTTCATCCGGCCTTAGATTGAGTATCTTCTCCTCTGAAAACAGCATACAAAATAGCTGTAAACATGTCAAAAGATTAAATTGCTCAGGATGGTAACAATGAATGACACTTTTTCTACCACACAGGGATTCAAACTTCAGCAACAAACGAAACGCTTTCCTGACGAAGGAAATGAATACCGACACAGACTTCATTTAATTTCCTCATGTGCTCTGCTATTAGAATAGAAACAAGTGCAGAATGGGGAAGTCTCCAGAGGGAAATTGGTCAAAGTCCAGAGCTGTGGTAGTTTCGAACGTAAATAAAGGTCAGATGGGGTGGGCCGCACTGAACCAGCACCCCTATCTGTTCTTTTTGCTCATTGTGGCAATTACGGTCAAAGTTCATTTAGTGCGGCCGCATAACAAAGTCGAGAGAGGAGATCAAGACTTTGTCCTCTGATGTTAGTCCCCTCCCTCAGTACCTTTCTTCAGAATGCGAAGTCCTCGGTGACGTAAAAACCACTTACCTCCAGATGCGTTTTTCAACCTGTATCGAATTATGTCAAGATTTTCCCAACAAATAAGTGTTTCCACGGCGCCCATCTCAAGTGCTTGCAGGGTATCCTTTACTCCGAAAACGTACTTGCCAGTATCCTTAAAAGCAAGTTACTGTTATTAAAATAAATGATGAAAAGTCAAAACAATGAGTGACAAAGAAGCTTCGGGAAGTTGTTTTGAAGTAATAACTGATGGTTACCTGACTAATCTCATCGAAATATCCTCCAATCAATTTCTTCTCTTGTATAAATTTAACATTAGCAAGGGCATCCGCAGCGAGTTCAATAGCCTGAACGAAAGTAATCAAAATATAGGATGTCGAAACAAGCCAAACACATGGCTGAACATCCCTACCTGATTGAATCCATTTTCACCTCCGTACGAAATATCCACAGTCTTAACCATTTTTGCTTGTAGTCGCTAGAAAAATAATAGAATTGATTTAAATTCAAAAACAAAGCAAGCAGATTGGAAAATAAATCCGAATAACTTCGGTAACTATGCGTAATTCAGAATAATCTGATAGAATGCGAAGATCAAGATGAAGCTAGCTACACGTTTCCATGTTGTTTAAAAAGATAAAACTCATTTTTGTAAAATATTTTTTGATAGCAATAAGTTTTAAGTACAGCGGCCGCCTGTAAGCATTTCTCTTCCATTATGTCTACTCACGACCCTACCATTATCTCACCACCACCATCACCTCCTTAAGTTCCCCCTTTTAAAAAGATCGCTATGAGCAAAGGATTCCCTTGCATCTCTTTTGAATCAACACTTAATAGATTAACTGGCATTTCATCCGCGAATGGATAAGAAAAAACGAGTGAATAGAAATATACAAAAATCCACCTGATCAAACATATCGGATTGACCGAGCTCAGTCTTGAAATCGGCGCTTCCTGCCAAAATCAAACCAGCCACCGTAACCTAAAAAAAGATTTCTAGTCAACATCAGCGCCAACTGGAAACAGGATTCCTTAAATTTTCAAACCGAAATACCTTATCGTTCTTGATAAACATTTCCACAGCACATTCTGCCACTTTTCGCACATAGTTGTGCCGTTTTTCCATTCGAAGCCGAGCAAATCGTAGAGCAGACTGTCCTCCTCGTCCTGTTCAGGCCCACATCAATAAGAGGGAAAAAATGCGATCACCTCAAAAGCTATGGCTCACCGTGTTTCTTCGGCAAATCCACTGTAAATTTGTGGAGCACTTCTCGAGTATTTCCTTGCAGTGTTCCGAATAATGTTCCATTTCCATCCATAATGATGAAGCCAAACTTATTGTCATCAGCAAGAAGACCTGAATGGCCAATTGAAATTCTCCAATGTTGCCGGCAATAGTGGCTTTCGTTTACCAGCATAGCGTGCGCTACTTTTGGAATTACCAACAATATATATTACTACATGGAATTTGTAGAAATTAGGACCTAGACAGGAGTAAATTCTAGAAAATCAATTACCTTGAAGAGCTTCCGTGTGAAACTTATTGTCACATAGATAAAGTGAGGTGTTGATGGGCTTGAAGGGCTCGAAATCAATATTAACTTTTTTCTCCTTGCCTTCATCGGTAACGATGGTACCACAATATACGACGAGTCCATTCGGAGGCACTGAAAAAGTAGTGCTTGGATAAAACTGGTTAATTATTATCGTTAAATGTGTGGGAAAGGACTGATTAGGTCCCCTCACTTTCTATTGGAGACATTCTTGCACGCACTCGCTCGCGGTAGCGCAAACTATCACGTGCTGTTTAAATTGATAACGTCACCCGCATTCCTACCGATAAAACAACCAGAAAACCATGGAGACTAACGCCGGAGATGAAAAAAAAGTTGAATTACTTGCAAGCACTGGAGATTACCAAAGTGTAAAAGCGTTGTATCGGATGTCATACGATCCTAGGGATTGACCGGGTTTAACACAAAAAATAAATCCCAGCCCATTGGGCTGATTTGACCACGCATGTGACCGTCCAAAAAAGTATGAGGAGATAAACTCAACAAAATAATCACCGCTCCTTCGACTGTCGTTAGGGAAGCACCAAAAAAAAAATTGACCACAGGATGCTGCAGTGCACTATTTTGCTTCAAAGTTTCAGAAATCTAATACAAGAAGAAAGCTACGTATCGCCATTTCGCCTGCACCATTGTTAGTTAAGCGGTACATATTTATCAAAAATCAAACGACGATAAGTTAAATTGTCGGAAGTAATCTGACATCTCCCGCTAGACATAGGGAAGCTGATTAAGTCGGACAAAAAGAGTCCTCTCCAGGGGAACAACAACGTTGACGGCATTATAACTGGTGAAGCTAAACTTCATTTATATGCTGTCCCCTATAAAAGTGTTGGATAGTGGGATGGAGCAAAAATGGAGGTTCGATTTATATCATATCCTGCAATCGAGCTACTCTGAACGTTTTGCGAGAGAAAACATTAAAACCTGACGGGAATATTGAATAGAAATATCACTACAAATGCCGCCTATTCAAAAGTACACAAAGAGTAGAATGGCAACAAAAAAAAAATTCAAAATCCGTTGTGTAGCAACGTATCGAAGGACAGGACAAACTGAAGGTAAATCATCCGTGTCGAAATAATGACTAAATATGATGTCTCTAAATTTTTTCATTTCAGAATCCCTTGTAAAGTAGTTGTAACCCACCAAGAGCTTCATTTTTAAGCGCCTAAGCAAGTGTTCAGGTAACTGTGTAAATAATTTAAACGTTGACTAACTGCCCCCCCCCCCTGACTTTTAGCTATAGGATCATTCACATTGAGCGCTGAATCATTCTAGCAACGAATCGCAACACACGTAAAAAAGGACCCCACAAAATACGATGAGTCATCAAATCTGCAAGTTGCTATGAAATACATACAATTCCCAGGTTCATGAACCAAATTTAGTAAATGACCTTATTGAATGTATAAACCAGACTTTAAACAAAGGAGAAATCATGAAACCCACCCTTGCTGTACAATTTCAGACGACCTTGTACCGAAGTAATTGCTCCGAGCACAGAAAGCCTGTTCACTCGAGATTTGATGTTAGATGCCGTACCATATTCATCAGCAAGCATCTTTTGAACTCGAGCAATCTGATCTCGCGGTGGGATGATTAATGAGATCATTGAGGTTCCATTCCTTAAAAAGACCATATTATTATAGAAAAAAAATATTCCGATTAATGACAAGTCCAAAAGATACCCTCTAGCAAGTTCCAAGCTTTTTATAAGCCTCTTAATCTTCCACATTTCGACATTTCGGTCAGCCGAATCCTCGACACCGGCGACAGGTGGTGGAGCCGACATGGTTCGCTGAGCTTACCAACACGTGAGGAGTTCGCCTAGAAAAATTTCGATTGCTAGAATTTCAAAAATTCAGCGTTACATCGTAATTTTCGATCAAGATTCATGCATGCTCACTCAAATCTGGAACTAATTACAATATTCTTCAGAGTGTAAATAGACAGTAAACCGTGTTGGCTAGTTCGTATTGCGAGGGACTAGCCACGGGCCCCCGACTCTAGACTAACCACGAATCCAGTATTGCATAGAAATCCGGACATAATTCCAGTTCCCATGACTAAGTGGGAATCTTTCAGGTCTTAATGTTGATCTTAGCCATGAATAATGTAGGCTGGTGACTCATTCCTAGTTAGAGAACACAATTAAGTCCTATACATCTGACTTCTAAAAAAGGAAACCAAATATCACTCGCATGGGTGATTTAAAGCTTTCTAGACAATCTCAATCAAATCTAAAAAACACGAAATATCAAAGAGGTCGCCTAATTATGACACACGGAAGCTGCTACGAGAAAATGGCTTTCTTTAATTGGTGGAAATTGCTGGAGTTGATGGCCTCCGCTCACACTGAAGGCGTGACATAGCTCACTATTTCCTTCTCAGGCGAGATGACAAAACCGATTTTCTGGCATTTAGCTGCGATAGTTTCTCTTTCGAAGGTTTCCAGTACTACTTATCTAACCGGAACTTGAGTAAGCCAATCTACTTTACATAAAGAGATGACTGCGAAAGTTTGAGGTTGGTGAGAATTCGTGAAGTTGGGAAAAAGGATTACAGGGGAAAGCATCAAGCAAAAACGAGTTACTGTGGAAAGAGGATTAGTTATCTAAAATTCGGTGTCAACTAACCAAAGTGACATGTCCGATATAACTTACTTTAGTTGACTCTAAAATAACTTTTTCAAAATGGCTCGAAATGATCTATCATAAAGTAACTAGACATATCCATCCTATACACTTTGCCAACCTAACTACTCCTTAAAAGTGAAAAAAAAACAACCAAGGACGAAGGCAGAGGAAGTACCATAATACCGTACAACAACGTAATATTAAGTTGGCAACTGAGTAATTGGGTACAAATTAGAAAAGTGTAATAGCTCCTTTCTTCAGAAAAAGAACCACCAAATCTCGACAAATTGACTTAAAAAACTCAGGCATCCGGACCATAAATATAAATCATTTCGAGAAACAGGTAGCGCTCTTCTTATGTAAAAGAATCAAACCGTTAGAAAAATATGCAGCTACTCAGCGGCCAACCAAATACAACATACCATCCATTTCCCTCCAAATAAGAGTGATTAAAGGTTCTCCCTCCTAACCTTCTCACGATTTGCCTATTTAAACTGGTGCCTAATTTCCGTTGCCTCAATTTCAAGATTTGCCCTGTTCCTATTGGAATGGACTTGCCCAGTTCCTGTTGGAGTGTCTTGGTAAAATACTGAAGGAAAATGACCTAAGGCTAAGATTTCAGAGTTTGAAAAATTACTGTAACACTGAATCTCACTTGGGTAGAACTAATTAAAGCAAAGAAATGATCTCTCCCTCCAATGCATGTCGGATGAGCCCTCGATACGACAAAAAAGGGCTGAAGCAACTACTGAAATTTCAAAAGCGGAATGTCCTGTTCCGAAATTGTGACAATTTCGTTTTGATTGAAATTTTAATGCCATTATAAAAAAGAAAATAGCAAAACATAATCTCCTTCTCTTAAAACTTATTAATTCACAGCAGGCTATTGAAAATTTTAACGCCACAACAGTAATATTTCCTGGGCGATTAGTCTAGAACTCGGAAGAACTTTACTTCACTCCTGTAACTCCAAAACCCAAAAATTAAACTAAACCATGTATCTCATAGGGTCGAAAATGTAAAGGAATAAAGTGCTCGATGCAAAAAGATGTCACGGCAATTTATATATGACTAATGAGGATTCCGCCCTATTTTGAAATTATTTGCTGGGAAAAACTCCTTCTACCTTCAATGAAAAGCTGTTCGAACCTGCATTGGATGGCATTATAACAGGAAAATCTTTTAGAAACACTACGGGCAATAATATTATGTAACACACAAGCAAGAAAAAATAATAGGACAGCGATCGCGGGGCCAAAATTTGTGAAAGTGACCCAACTAAACGTGTCTACGGAAAACTCGTCCATATTCAGAAAGCGAGAACATTAGTCACGCCTTTCACAAAAAGGCCCCGATCTAGCTTTACAGCGAAATTTGATGGGTCAAACACGGGAACCGTTGACCATGAGCAGCATTCAACAAAACGATGATAAAGAAATTAAAGAGTATGGTAAACAATTGGGGGGACAGACTATGATCGACCACACAGTCTTGCAGATTGCCATATTCGGACATCGGAAAATCAATATTACCCAGTTAATGGCAAAACAGCATTCATGCACCATCGTCCAAAGTCGATTCGGATGCTTTCTCGTGCTTTTTATCAATCGCATAACAACCGCCACTTGTTCGACGACTAATTTACCTAGGGTATTGCTCAAAGATGCTTTACAACGAGTTTGCAGATATTTAAGGAAATATTAGCCTTCAGTAATATAATGGACATTCTTAGGGAGTAAATAAGCAAAATTTCGTGCTTGGTGTCGTTTGGTAGCGTCGCTGTAGGTTTGTCGACCAGACGAACGCAGTGGTCGATGGACGAGTTCGTGTTGTGCGTTGTTGTTCAAAGTCCCAAATTACGGTATGTTGCCTGAAAATCATGGTGGCTTGGCTTGTTGCCAATTGTCAGCGATCAGTAATGTGGCCTACCATTTTATTACATGGAGGGGTGAGGAAGTTGCAAATTTCATGGGAATAAGTGGACTGCTGAAGTGGGAGTTTTTTGGGGTCAGGACATCTTTTCATTCTTAAAGGGGGTTCCAAAATCTGAGTAGGAGTTCGGGGAAGGATGGAGCTTTCTTTTTTCCCGCAGGGAACCGATCGATAAGAGCATAGGGGTGCTCGGAGAGCTCAGTTCAAACAGACCCTCCGTGACTTATTTTAGTGCTTATTTTGGATCGTTATTTATTTCTACATGTTTCATTTGTTTTTTTTTATTGTAACAACAAAAATAAACTTTGTAGATGCCTCCCAGAATCTGAAAAGAGAGTTTGGTAGCCGTGCGTAGGTGATAATAGTTCTTTTTACTGACTCCAGTATTAATTTTACAAAGATGATTTCTGAAAATGATTTTATCTGATGCTATTCAAGATTTTCCGAGTAAAAGGTGCCTCTACAGATTTCTCCCTCATTTTGAAAGAATTCGAGCTTGGGCGTTTCTCATAAACAGAGCAAAATATGAACGCATTGAAGGGATCTCCGAAAAGAATCGGCCAATGTTCTAATGAAGGAACGTCCAGAAAAAATAGTCAATTATGGTAATGAAGCCAGAAGTTTCAGTGGCTTCAAAAACTTATACTTTTTCTGAAGAATGCTTGTTTATTCTTTGTTGTTTGATTCTGTAATCATAAGATTATCATTTTTGTATCTTCTTTTCATGGTATTCAATTATTCGATTTCTGAGGGAATGGGTTCCCGCTCTCGAACTGCATGTCGCGCTCGCGCGTAATCGCGCGCTGCGAAGATCCAACTTCGCGTGAAAGATTACGGTATTTGCCGCGAAACCCTTGTTACTCGTGGGGGTTCGGGTAGAAGGATCACCACACGCTCTCCAATCCGGATCCGTAAACGATGGATGCGTGGGTCCTGCCACCATGTATTGGATATGTATCGATTCGTGCACTCAAGTTCCGACAAAGATCTCTTCGTGGAATATCCTATCGACACAGAAACTCGTGGGAACTATAGGAACAGTATCTGGCCCATGACAGCGGCTTAGGTCAATCCACGATCCGTTGTCATGGGCTAGATACTGTTACCGAGTGGTGAACCCTTTCGGCTGAGCATTAGTTTTGCAATTCCGTCTTTCAATTCTATACATATGTAGTAGCTGGGGAACTGGAAAATATTGCCCACTTTTCCAAACTGGAACCCTTCAAAACCAAACTGGAACCCTTCAAAACCTAATAGCTGAATAGTGTTTATAGTTCGAGGTGGCTTTCGCATATTGCAAGGCTACCATTGTTCGTCCAGGAGCGTTTTCTCAACAAAGCCCCCTTCGATTTTGTGAACAGGAGAGAGAACGCATTCTAACGTTTCTCCCCCGGTAACTCTCCCTCAAAAGTACCTCCCACAGGTCTTCTGGAATCGGGGGCTGTTGACCCGCTTGGAGGAGCGGGTCGTTGACGTTGCTACTGATGTCGTCGTTCCAGATCGGAGGTATATCGTGTCGTTGCCATCTCTGGTCGTTTATCGCAAAGAGGCAACACCGTTTGCAGCCCTTTCAACTGGTTTTCCAATCCAGTTAGACAGTAGCCGATGGCGATTGTATTGTTGATTTCAATCTGACCTGTTCGGGAGTTGTAAGCAACGCCTAGCGGTGTTCAGCTTATTACCATTTACCATTCACCTAACGTTCTACAGCGGTCGTTATAATGGTCGATACAGAGGTTGTTGTTCAATTTTCATTTATTTTATTTTATTTTCAGTCGTTTTTTATATTTATATGTCATATAATTTTAAAATAGGATTTAATGTGAAAAAAGATTTCTGGCATTCACTCAAGGGTGTGATGATATAGTAAGTCCTTTCAGTAGTGCCTTCATTTCGTGGTATAACATATCGGAAAAGGGTCCAACGTACACCTTTTATTACTGTAAATTTTCGTTGGGCGTAAACTAACCCTTTGTAGATACCCCACCATCATCACCCTTTATTGAAACTTTAAGGAAATCCTTTATATTCATCGGTCAGCCTCATGTCTTTCTTATATAAAAAGCAGGGGGTTGGTATGTCGGTTTGTTTGTCGGACTGCCGTTTTGTCAATTTGCAGGTTTGTCACTTTGTTTGTCTGTCTGTCCGGCCACAAACTTACCATGATCATGGTGAAAGGAGTGATTTGGGAGATCCAACACAAACTGTGGTGTAATAGGAGGAG